TGGGAGAGACAAAAGTGAGTAAAAACACCCTAAATATGTTTAGAACTACAAATGTACAAAAATAATTTCAACATTAACAACATTTAATGATTTTAATGCTTTGTCTAGATCCACATTACACACATCAGTTTTGTCCTGTATTGTTAAATGTTATAACAGCAAATGTAATCAAAAGATTGTTATGTAGGGTGAAATTGCTAGCTCTACAACCAACCCTCCTCCTTTATCCGGGCTTGGGACCGGCAAAGTGACCCAAAAGACACACTCTGGCAGAGTTACTTAGGTTTATTTTTGTAAGTTTTTTTTTTTTTTCATAGTTTGGCATAACAAATGATTTAATGTGACCCACTACTGAGAGAAAACAGAGTCACGGACAGAGCTGCCGCGGATGGAGTGGGGGGTAGTGGGGGGTGGCGGTGGTAGGAGTGGCCGGGGAGCTTTGGATGTGTGGTGGTGGTGGAGCTGAAGTTCAGTCTGCAGCAGCCTGAAAACTTCCTGTGCTTTTGAGTCTCTCTCTCTCTCTCTGCTCCGCCCATAGACTGTAGCTGGGACTGCTGCGCAAGGCTACTGTGAGACTGGCCGCCTGTAAGTGCTTTGGGACGGGGGAGGGGCTCACGTTGAGGACAGCAGAACAATACGTGCTTCACGAGTCTCCAAAACACCAGATAAGTCGCCAAAACACCAGATAAGTCGCCAATAACACCAGAAAAAGTAGCTAGATTTGTCGCTAGTCGCTTTTTTGAAAAAAAGTCGCTATAGGGGTCTGAAAAGTCGCTAAATCTAGCGACAAAGTCGCTAAGTTGGCAACACTGGGTGCGTTTAGCGACATGCACCTTGCAAACTTCAGAAGGCCGGGAAAGTGGGCGTCTCCGGCTTTTAACTTGCTGTCCTGGTGGTTATTGGTGGATTAGATGTGGGCGTTTTGCTGGTGTAATGAGTAGAGGATGAGCAGGCTTGTAGATCTGGCAGCAGTGGCCGGGTCTACCACAGTGAACTTTCGCGAAGAGCTTCATAACTTGACCACTTCCTTTTCCCCATGGACAAACAGTCTGTTTCAAACCTAAGTGATATATTTATCGAATGCATGTTTATACAGTATGTGTAAAAATTATATTACACACATTTACAATATGAATAAAAAGTAGTGAATACCTTTCCTGCTGTGATCATTTTTGTCTTTGAAAGTACATGCTGTCTTTAAAACTGCTTTACCTTGAAATATATGTCCAGAATGTAACTTTTTTATAGTCACTTGAGTCATTTCCCACTAAAGTTTTCACTTCTTCTCGATCAAGTTTTTATTTATTTTTAATATTTTGGTTTACTCTTTGTCCAAACGTTATCAACCAGCGCGGACCATAGACCCGCGGACCAGGACCAGGACCTCCTTGTTGCAAGTTTGTGTCTTTGAGTAACCGAGGTGGATTGTGAAGCCTCAGGAAGCGCATGTCTCCCCCGTATCTCCCCACACAGCACAACTAAAACTCACTAAATTAAAGCTGGGGTACCTACATTAATTGTTCCTTGCATTAATCCTGCATGTTGGTTGTGCCCAAAAGTACAATGTTGTGAACAAAACAAACCACAACAGGTCCTCTTGTTTAGATTTTTTTTTTTCAGACCGTGCTTAAGAAAGATCCTGAGAGGGCTGAGAGTAGATTATCTGAGCCAATCTAAATTTAAGCACGAAAAAGTAGAAAAGTAGAAAATCTTGATTAAGAACCCAGAGAAATGGGCTGAGAACCAAACATCTGAGTACCTCACCGAAAAAGTTATATGCAGGTGCACATAACTTTTGTGCACCTGCATAATTCCAATCAGGCGATTGGAATTATTTTTTTAACACTACATTAACTTTTACTTTGCCACTAAGTATAAGTTGATCTAAAACTATATTTCATTCTAACATAGATTAACTGAGCAAAAATAACATAATAAATAATAAAAATAAATCATTTTAAACGGCAACATAATCACGTGGTTCACATTTCAACTACAAGATCGTCTGCAGCTAAAATAGAAAAAAACAATAAAATCAGGACTGTCCGTTATTACGTTATTAGTTCCTACAAGAGCTTTACATCTCTTCAGTCATTTCCAAATTTCCCTCCTCACCGAATAGATGTATGAATTATTTCTGTCAAAATATTGAATGAAGGTCAGGAAACGTAAAAACAAGCAGCCTTTATGTTGTTGAATAATGTTGAAGACATAGTAGTTCTTGTTTGTCGGTGATGTACACACATCCTGTGTTTATTTGAACATAAAAACAGCTTCACAAAACCCCTAACAATAAGTGGGAAGGAAAGCCCTCCAAGATATGGTCAAAAATAATGAAATCTCCGGCTTTAATAAGCCGTTATAAACATAACTAAAGATGAAAGCCTTGACACCAAATCCAAAGAGAACCTTTATTCATCCCACTGTGGGGAGGTTTTAGTGTCATGGATGCGCACACATTACAGGATATACTGTAGTAGAAAAAGCAATCAACCAAGATCAGCAAACATCAAACAAGATAACTGTCTGGTATTTAAGATGATAAGTATTGAACATTTAAATCTCACAATCATAACATAAAGTCTGAGACTGAGACTTTAGTAAATTGTATTGGAGATATATATGTGTAAGGAAGGAAACTGCTTTATTGATTATTGTTTAATTACAGTAAATGTACAGGAGGTAAGCCACTATTGTAGCCACAGCTGCCCTGGAATGGACTAATGTAAATGAGACTGCATAGTTAATGTGGATGACATATGTAAAGAATCAGAAACAGATGGAGCATTTTCAGAGCCTCAGCCGTTCTAATGTGGCTCCGGGATTCCCAGCGGTTTCTCATCCGGCGCCTGAGATTTGACATGCAGGTATGACCACAGAGCAATGTGCAATGACTACAATTTGTTTCTGTGTCGTTCCTTGCAGAGAGGAGAGAGAGGTGAGGGGTCAGCGAGTGTTTTGTGTCTTGTCTGTGTGAATACCAGCGTTGATTATGTCCTGTCTCTTGCTATTGGTGTTATGGTGCGTGTGTATGAATGTATGTGTGTGTGTGTGTGTGTGTGTGTCATGGGCTGTTGTGTGTTTTGTTGGAGGGTATTGTAGGGTTTTGATATTTTTTTTGTTTGCTTTGTTTGTATTTTATTGTAAGTATGTGTCTATAAATCCATGGTCTAAAGGGCTGGGCAGAGATTGGATTAAATTAAGCTTTTTGCTTCAACCAATCTCTTTTCAAACCATTTACAGGTTTTCTTGTAATTTATCATGTCTTTCTGTGAACAATTGTATCTAGTGCATGTTTGAAAAATAAAAAAATATCTATGATACAGGAAGGCCCAAAGGACAGTAACAATCCAGGACATTTATTAACATTTATAGCCATTGGTCATCCCGCTCCCTATGAAACAATGACTCCTATGTGTTATAATTTTATTTCCTGTCTTCTATTTGTTTGACTCTCTTATCTCTGAGTTGACTGCTGTTGTGCATTAGGGCTCTACAAAAATAAATGAAATTGAATGGATGCAAAGATTCGAGTCAGCATTGGAATGAACGACAGACACCATTCGGGTTTATTAATTTTAATCAATTCAGCTAGCTACAAAATGTCCACCACTTCACACACTGACAGGATACAGAGGGAGTCTTAATAGTACATGCGCTGAGGACATCAATCTCACAGTTGAACTTATTGTGTCATTCAGGGTTGGGTATTTAATCACCGTACTCTAACTACTTTGACATTTTGGCGATTTGGTGTGCATAGCTCTATATAGAATACAGAAGCAAAAAACAAAAAGGAAAACCAAATAAAAAATCCTTTGTTGCTAGAGTATTATAATAGTGTCGGAATTATTATTATTTTTTATTACCAATAACAAACCACACAAGGAGAATAAACTTACAGGTACAGTCTTCTTATAAAAGTAAGGTCTCTCAGAAATATGCATCTTTGCTTTACAATGCAAACTTTTTCAGAGCATCCAAAACCTATGGTACAGTGCACAGCCAGTCCTTATCTTTCAGCACATAGTCATCACACTGAACTGCATATTCATTTAGAAAACAGGTACATTTTTTTGCGATACAAGTCCTCATTGTCGTCTTCTCTTTTTGGATCCCCCTTTGCATTATTTTACAACAAGATGGTCACAGTCGGCAAATATATCGAGACAGAAAGAGTGGCACTATTGCAACCTTGCGGGAGTATGGAAACGGTGTCCTAATACTGAGCATGCGTTTTGTCAACTTGCCATGTTATTATTTTTTATATATATTTTTCAGACAGATTTTATTTATAAGACTAAAATCTACCATTGGTCATGCAGAGAACGCACAAATCACATCACTTGGAATGCAATGTCTAATACAGCTACAGAGTCTAGTTGCACATTGTCTAAACAGAAACTCAGTATGATTGCGATGGAGGAATATGTACCAACGACTGGTTTTGATTGTAAGTGCTTTCCACAATCTCTTCCGTCCGTAACTCTGTGTGCCCCCCCCTCCCCCCCTCACCATTTAGTTTGTGCCAACACTAAAGTAAGAGTATGACAGCAGTCTATGTGACACAGTTTTACCAAGACGATACTGAGATATTGAACAGAAAAGAATAAAACAAACAGATTTTTAAAGCATTCCTTATATATAATTGTCATCCAGAGCAGTGTAATTTATATATGTATATCTTATATATATGATATGTTATAATATATGATATATATATATATTTCATAGAGATTAAAAACTTCACAGGTGAGCTAGAGCCATCAAGTCAGCACTATATACAACCTTTGGAAAGAATGATACACGGAGTTTAAGAAATCATTGTTTACGAGGACAATCATCTTGAAAAAGCTGGACAGACGACACAGAACAACATTAACAATGGGGAGGGAGGTGATATGTGCATGTGTGCAAACCTAGAAGGTCAATACCATAATGAAAGCAAGTCAGCGCCTGTTGAATAGTGGCGCAGGAAGCGGCTGTCTGTGGGACAGCGTTTAGCCACTGCCCAGCATCTTTGTGGCGCGCTGGTTAGCCTCGTCAATCCGGGTCTTGTTGGAGTCAGCCTGGAACAGGAAACAGTCAGGTTACAGTCTCTGAGAACGTAAAGGCGCACATACACCGACTCCAGGGAAACATTAAAGATGCGCTTTTTGTGGTGTTTAGTTTTGTACCTCACATACTGTACATGATTTGTTATTTTGTATGCTGCAAATCTGGTCTGAAATGACCAAATTTACTTGTTGAAGTTCTGGCACGACCAAGCTCACCCTTGCAACTTCCTGATTGGTCAAAGTTAATTCAAATTCTTGTGGCCTCTAGCCATTGCTTTTTCTGGGAAAGCCAAACCAATGAAGTCAGGGCTGGGAAAGCTCACCAAACGATGTGAAAGATTCCAAAAACATGCACGATAAAGCCAGCGATAGAACCAGGTTTGGGAGCGAAGGACTACAGTTACATGGGCTTTATCACATGGTTTCTTGTGGTTTCAAAGTTAAACACTCTTTAACAAAGTAAAGGGTAAGTTGGTCCTCACACTGAAGCCTCAAATGAAGAAATGTTGTGTTTTGTGACATGACAAGGAGAGGCCGATATAACAAGATTTAAAAAGCTCCTAAAAGTTATTTTATCCTGAAGGCAGACCAATCTCTCTCTCTCTGTCGGCCGTGTGGAGTCGGCAGAGGCTAACTCATTGTCATCGCTTGAAAGTCGTGTCTAGAAAGTTTGGAATATTATAGAATAGTATATAACATAGTATAGTTTCAGCACATATGAAGTCGGTTCCAAAAAGAAAGTTATCAAAGGAACACTCTGATTGGTCACAAGCTTCACATCACACAGAAGGAAAACAGCATTCATGTTATAACTCTTCAAATCAATGTCAACGTATATTGTGAGCGTTTAAGCACTGATAAACTAATTTGAATTACAACTTAACAGACTAGATAAAATGCAGCAAAATGTTTCAGGAGAGTTGTCCCATGGCAACCTGGTAGAAGCCCTGTCACTCAGCAGCATGTGTAGGTTTTTGTTTGTCCAACAGAAAGAGTAAAGGTTTTGAGAAGATATATGATCAGATCACACTGTCTTCCTCTTATTAGAAAACATGTTCTTGTTTGCATACTTACAAGAAAGAGCCCTGCAAGTCATTATTTGACACTTTGGACATTTTTCTTTTGGCTCAAATCTGCTGTTGATGAAATTACAGTTTTGTAAAGGTCCCTCAGAGGACTGTTGTGTGCTATACAAATCAAATTGAATTGAATTGGCTGAGGTCCAAGATCCTCTCTTTTTCACTTTTCTGTCTGAATAAGCTGATCTAGAGATGTGACAAAGCTCAGTATGTGGAAAATAGTGATAGAACCAAACTGTTTTGAGAGCTAGGAACGAGCTATATTGCATAGGTCAACATTTGTGCATTAGAAGATAGGTACCCCAGCTTTACTAAGCAGTAGAAGGTGGTTTGGTGTCTCTGATTATGTCCCCTTTAACCTTAAACCAAGCATCGCTCTTGTACGGTAAAACAAGACTCCTGTTTGTCGTACCTTCTCCATGATCCTGTCGATCTGGCGATTCTGGGTGTCGATCTCGTTGCCCATGTCGAGGGCCATGTGGCGCAAGTTTCCGATGATGCCGCCCACCTGTTCCAGGTTCTCGTCCATCTCATTTTCCCGGGCGTCGTCTGTTACCCTGGAAACAAGCAGGTTCGCATCTGGGACGTTTGAACTTTCGGTCTGTAAGAACGACCCCACAGCTGACCGCCGTGATCCCACAGTATGCTCTCAGTCCAATGCTGTGAACTTTACACATGTTGCTGACACTAAAGCTGCACATGGCCACAGAGAGGAAGGTATACTCATTCAGGATATTTTTCTTTTATACTTGTATACTTGCTCCTTATTATGCTAAAGTCAGGGGTTTTTGCTTCTTCATCATGCTTAAGTTGAAGATTTTAAGACTTCTTTCCATATTATGTTAAAGGTAGAGATGTTATACTGTTTATTTTTATGTTGAGTTAAGAGATTTTATTTTAGTATAGAGTTATCGTTCATTTTTTGTGTGCTATGTGCTCCTCATTCCCACCGTTCTGTAACTAGGATGCAACCCTGAAAATTTCCCCACTGTAAGACAATTAAAGGGTCTCTTCATCTTAATTCTTAACAAAGAACAAATGCCTTATTTGGGGTCTTATATTTACATGTCATCTTTTAGAAAGTGAAATAATTATATACAGTCGTAGGTGAGGAATAGATTGTGTTCGATCTAGTGATTGAAGTGAGATTTCTATTTTATTCAAATTTAACAAATGTAATCACATTCATAAAAAAGGTCAGTGATTTACCTTATCTAATATTGCAAGATCTATTTTAAGTATATCATTTGATTGGAGAAATAAAGAAACTAATTTAGAGGAAACTATTTGTTTCAAAAGCCAACACGATGTAGCTGGGGGCTGTACGAGGTCAAGTCTGAGAGAAGCGGGGTCACATTAAGGGGCGTAATTTATGTGTGTATTTATGTAAACTATGTGAACACTGGAGCAAACTGATCTGTGCACCTGCAGAAAAGCAAAGACGTATTGTAGACTGCTGGGCTTCATATTGTTTTCTTGAATTCTTACTTATCGCGTTGAAAGTTTTATAGTTATGGAAATATAAATGCTTGATAAAATTAGCTTCAAATTGATGTATAACCTGCCATATTAGCCCAGACTCTCAGAGGGGGCCGCACTGACATTAACCTTTGATGTCCACTAGGGGGCCACAAAAGACCTTGTTTGCAGGCCACATGTTGGAGTTCCAGATAATAGTGTGGATAGAGGTACAAGGACGGAATAATCTTTTTTCAAAGCAACGTGTCCTAATCAATAAGATATGATTACAAGAAAAAAATACTGCTAAAACATACATGAAAATAATGTTTAAGGTGCTCCACAGAACTTATTTAGTGACAGAGAGTCATGAGAACTCTCTATGGAGTTAATTATTTTTAATTAACACTTTTGAAGCAATTGTGGTTGAAGTTGGACTCATCATTCATCCAGTAAGTAAATAATCTTTATTTATACAGCACCTTTCTCAGAGCACAAAGCACTTTACAATCGTTATTTTTATTGTCTCTCACTCCACACAGAGATGGGAGCGAGGTTGCCCTACAGGAGGCGCATGCCAGACATATTGTACATGTTTTTAGTGGTAGGGGAAACCAGAATACCTGGGGGAAACTTATGTAGACGTGGGGAAAACATGCAAACTCCACTCAGAAAGGTCCTGTTCCGATCGGGATTCGAACCCGACATGTTGCTTCTTATTGCTGAGAAGCGAAAGTGCTATCCACTCAGCCCCCGTGCCGCCAGTGTGCAAGGCTAACTGATTTTCCACTTTAATGTTTTGGTTATCTGAAGGCCGAAGCTACTGGCCCCGTGGCAGGTGCTGATTGGAGCGTCAACGAATCCTCCATGCAAATTTTTGGTTGTGTCTCTTTAACATCAATAAAATGTCTTCTGAGACTTTACTTGGACCCCAGAACCCCGCCTCATTTGTCGTTCTCTTCGGAATGTTCCAGTAGGATTGAAGATTTTTGATAGACTACAATTACAAATGGACTTTGTGTCTCTAAACTGACCCAAGCACATAATGGAGACACACAACACACTCTATTTTGACAGCTGGATTTTGCAGATTATTGGGCCTTTCTCCTCGTACCTGCGGATGAAGCCACCGCTGATGGCCATCTGTTCGCGCTCGTCGACCACGCGGGCGGGCTGGCTGGCCACCACGCCGTCCTGGTTGTTACCCCAGGCCTTGCTGGCTCCGCTCTTCATCCTGCCCAAGGTGGAAGCGTAACAACCAACACAATCAGCCTCCAGAAGTGCACCTCCACCAGGCTGCCTTTTCTTTCCCATTGTTTACAAAGGGAGGCTGGCTTTGAGGCTCGTGTGAAGTTTAGTAGGAGCTGATGTTAGTGTTATTTGGTCATGCATCACAGAAATATATGGGACTAAAGGGACTAAGTCAAGCGAAGCATTGCAGGCATGGGTTGTTTAGAGACGAGCTTGTTACTGTCTGTCCGATGTTATATCTGCTAAAACAAACTACTAAGTCACACTAATGTCCACTGTCTAAACGTGTAAGAAAGCATGCAGAAATCAGAGAGAAAACGTTGCTCCTTTTAACGTGACAAAGAGAAGCGATAGTGTGGGGTTTTTAAACATTTGGTGTATGGAAGGTGAGGCTTGATATGCATAATCGCTGTCTATTTCGGCAAATACAAATGTTAGATAGACTTCAAGTGAAAGTCAGATCTTTTTTAAATTGTGGAGTTGGAGAGGTTTTTTGAATACAAGCGCCAGTAAGACCTCCCCTGATTGGACGCAGTTAATTCAAAATCTTAATAGACAGCTGAGGTCCCTCACCATTGGTCTCAGCAAATCTAATTGGTGATGCTTATTTCAAGCAGAGACTGTATTGAATATATTTATTATGAAAAAAAAAAACTTCATATAGATGATACTACAGGGTCATAAGGTCAAAAAATATCAATCGTTTTCAAAATAAAACACAATTTCATTTGCAGACATCACCTTTAATGTGTGTTATGTATGAATTCTAAGCGCAAAAAACAAATAATATGCGTAAAGTCTAAAAAACCCAAACTATGACTGTTTTGATGAAAATAGGATCTTTCCCTCCCAGACCCCAGTGTGACATAAAACAGAGAAGACGAGTTTTGGGCAGACACAAAGACGCAGACTGGGATAGAGTCAGGACGATTACAGTGAACAAACTGCTCGACAACAAACAGAGAAAACTGGAGGATGTTTGAGAGAAATGCAGCGTGCACCCATCCCTGCTCCTGAGTCTGTCGGGCGTATACACAGTGATCACAGCTGAGCTAACATGAGGCGCTATCACAGCTCTGCAGCTCACCTTTTTGTGTGAAGTAAACATTCTCAACCATAATGCCTCCACGAAGCATATGCACTGGTTACAAAGAATAATCTCTGTCGTGTAACATTCAGAAATGTTCAGAAATTAGAATGAACAAAAGATAATGTACTGTAGTCATTTAACTTGACATAATTTTTGCACAGAATTGCACTTAACATCAATAACAGGAGGTAGACTGATAAGCCCACATGGAGCTATGTGAACAAGGTACAGACACTAAAAAATCAGGATTCTTGTGGACTGACAAAGACAGAGAATCTCCTCTACCGCTGGTCTTTATTGTGAAGACTGGACCAAAAATAAAGGTCATATTTTGTGTCAATGGCTAAAAATCACCAATTATTGAAACTGGTCAGCCACATATTATAACTATGTATGTAAAGTATTAGATAATCTTCCCCATTAAACCCATACACATCTATATAAAGCATCACTTTAATGAGTAGCGTTTTCATGCATGCAAGAGCATTCCAGGATCATGCTCGCAGTCACGTCAGTGGCGTTTTGTAGATGACGGGAGGGAGTGTTCAAACAAAAGGGTCTAACTCTTCTAAGAACATGCACACAAGGAGAAGTGTTAGTCCTGAACCAGGCTCTCCAAAGTCCTGTTGGCTCCAGACTTCATGGTCCTGCAGTTTGGACCAGAGGCTCAGGGGCCAAGAGACCGTGTGAACCTGGCCCTGCTCTGGTGCAAATCTCTAATATGAACAGGGCCGATGGGCTACTGACATTACTTATGGACAATTCTGTTTAAGAATCGTGGGCTTGGTTAATATTTGAAGAGAACTTAACTTTTGAAAGGACGCTTAATAATGAACAAGTAGATTTACCCAATTCGCAATACCATAATGCTTTGCGAGCTGAGGGGGTCATATGCTACTGTGTAATGCACACACTATAAAACTTTCATATGAGAAAATAATATTAGCTTCAGAGGCATTTAAATGAAACAAAATCAAATCAAGTTTGTTGATATTAAAAAAAATCAAACGAGGAAGAAGGTTTGATTGATTTAAATGGTGCAGTTCTGCAAACAGCCAGCAGATGGCGATCATTTCTACTATTCCAGTGCATCACAACACTAGGCCGTGGTTTGTGTTCCTGAGGTTTCAAATTTGCTGTAGATTGAGACTCACACACGTCTCCAACTCCCACTGCACATTTTACAAAGCTTGGCAACTTTAGCTTCTGTGGTAGCGACCCCACCCTCAAACTGAAAAGCATTATGGGATTTGCGCAAGTAGTAAATAGCGTTTTAGAAAGTTTGTGTGGTTGTTTTAGCGGCAGCTTGAGCTACCTCGAGACATCCGATCTTGCTGAAAGTTTAGGGGACTTTTGTGTAGTTTTGTCCGATATGAGCATGAGAAGCACCCGGCACCATCACCTCAGAGCTCAGAAGAGGGGTGGAATCTTATAGGAGCAGAGCAGACTATTGGTTGATGGTTGCCATAACATCACTTCTACCTCTGATATCTAGAGAATGCTCTTATTCTGGTAAGGCAGGCAGGCAGGCAGGCAAGCAGCACCTACTTGTTACATGGACAGGAGCAAAGACCACAGAATTTCCCTAGATCGTTCAAATTCTTTTCTGCATCCTTCATGTCCTTATTGATTTGGTCCATTCCCTCCTCGATGCGCTCCAGTTGCTCTGATTAAACAAATATCCCCCAAAGAACGAAGCGAGAGAGAGAGAGAGAGAGAGAGAGAAGAGGAGCAGAGAGAGGACAAGGGAGAGAAGACAACAACTTCAGACACTCACTTTGACGAAATAAAGTCCAAATAAAATATAAAAATGAAAATAAACGGGACGCCACCACATATGTAGAACCTCTGGGCACGTTGTCAGTACCTACTTGTTACAGGGACATATGAAAAGCCCACAGCATTTCCCTAAATCTTTTAAATTTTTCTCGGCTTCCTTCATGTCTTGGTTGATATGGTTCATGCCATCTTCGACACGATCGAGTTGCTCTGGTCAGGACAAAGGGATGACAGTGTGGAATGAATTTCAGAGACTGTTGACAGAAGTATGAGAAATGGTAAAGTCTGTGTGTATTTTACTGTATGTGTGCATTCATCTGCCCATGTGAAATACTCTTACTACATTAGAGCTTCTTTAATCCTCAAAATGGGACCAACGCACAAATAATTTCATTATTGTGTAACTGCCTAAAGGTAAATTAATTCTGTCATCGGGATTTGGTTAAACATAGCAAAGAGTAATGCTTCCAGAAATCGTGTTTTACAAATACAAATAGACTGAAGTTTAGTTAAAGGGACAGTATGCAATATTGTCATATCTTTTATGTTATAGATCAACATGTACAATTTGGCCTTTTCTGAACAGTTGAACATGTTATTCTTAATTCAAAAGTACAATGGATAATATCTATGTTTACAGTTTTCAAGTAGATTGTCCAATCAGAGAGCAGAACCAGCCTCTCATTTGGGTTAAATAACAAGTTGCCCAGAGTTTATACTGTTTCTAGCTAAACCCCAGCAGGCGGTTCACATCAATCATCAGCGCTTACTCTATAGTGATTGCACAAATACGAATACAAGTCTTCACAATTACAATCGAACAAATGCAACTGTAATTGTACTGACTTAGATGACTTAGAGTTAGTTAGAACAATGAATACCGTGTCGATTTTGTATCTGTAGTAATTTGGATACATTTTAAATCAGTCCCAGTTGACATTGTGTCTTTTGCTTTTGTAGATTTTTGTAGACTGTCTGTTTCAAATGTATAGAAAGTGCGGTGCTGGTGTGAAGGGGGCGGAGCACGGTTAAAAATGAAGCACAGTGAGAAATATCTAATTAAATGCTGGTTTGTAAAATCCCTGGTAGAACGGTTTGACATGTTCATTTACTTAGTGGTATCAGCTGGAGTTAAAATAGAATTGTAAAATCTCAGCACGTGGTTTTGACAAATTTTGTAACACTGGAAGTACCTCCAAGGACTGTACAAAGCAGCAGAGTTTTTGTCATTACCAGCTAAATCGATCGTTTCATTTTCATCCACCATTTTGGTTTTGATATAAGCTCAACAGAGCTAACTTTTTGCTTTGAAACAGTCAAATACATAGTATAATTATCTTGATATAAAGAATAAGTAACTGTAGGGTGTGGCACCCCAGTGGTAAAAATTACATTTTGATAGTGGCCCTATTGTTTCGAGGGGTTGAAAGGAATATGAAAAAGCTGCTGGCAAAACAAGAGCAGTTAGGCAAAAAATAAGAAAATACGTTAGCGAAAGGAAATTTGTTGATTATAAAAAGGCATGCATTTTGTTACATAATGTGTTTGTAAACAAGATACAGTATTCATTACTGTTTTATAAGGACATATCATTTATCAAATAATATTAATAGCTTTGCAAAGTATTAAACTGTTGTGATTAATCGAAGAGTGACTTACCTCCCTGTTCGTCCAACATGACCAAAGTCCTAATACCAGCATCTTTGCTCTAGGAGAAAGAGAACCAGACTTTAGACAAACTGGAGAGGCATAGTTCAATCAGAATGATCACAGGGAGACACTCTTTCTCTGTCAGCTTCAAGCCAAGATATTTTATCCTCGAGTTCTCATTGTATTGATCTCGTCAAGAAGTGAATTGATGATTATATGGATATGGAATATGGAATTTATTGTAAAAATAATTCTACCGTCGAACTCACTTGTTTATAAGAATCTGAGATTATTTGTATATTTGCTTAAAAACTTTTAAATCTAAAAAACCATCTCGTCCACATTCCCAGCAGACTTCCCACTGTGGATCATTGAAGCCCAACAAACATATTGATCGGGAGGTCAGTGGTCATCTGGTCACTTCACCCTTAGCTGGGAGATGTGCAAACTGCCGTACAGGGACCTCGAGTGAAACCACAATGCATCTCTCATTAAAACCTGCTCCTGTCATGGGAACCCACTAGGAGCAGAAGTAGCAGTCACCGTTGTCCAGTGGATCACAAAGGCCAACAACTCCTTATTAAGGCAGCACAATTTCGGAAAATATCTATACATTCTTATGTGATCACTATCTCACATTAGATACTGAAAACTGCTAGTTCATAATTAAGTTTTTACCAATATACATAAGAATATTTCCTTAAAGCTCAGTCTTAAAACAGATTTGGTAATGGATCATGCACACTACATTTTGCTATAGTGTGAAATTGGAAAATCTTCAATATAATCTCAAACCAAAATATTTTTAACAGTTCAAGTATGACTATTTTGTAATTTGTGAAAGATATCAAGGATTTCTGTCATTTGCTAATTTTGATAAGACTAAAATTGCAAACTTGATTCCATTGCTACTGTAGTAATCAAACCCTACACTGCTTATTACGTTGAAAATGGATTTCATGAGTATGTTTTTGCAATATTAAAATGCAGTAGACACTGAAAGTCTCCTGTCATGACATATATAGTATGCTGCATCTTCCCTGTCCATGTCTCAGCCTGGCTCAGACACGAGACCTGCTTGTGCCGATACAGCCTCCAACATCATCACAGCCTCCTCCTCAGCTCTTCTGTGAGTGGACAGGTGACGTGCGGGAGGCCACAGGAGCCATAAGTAATCCCAGGAGAATAAATTACAGTGTCATTTAGCCCTGAGATGGCCCACAGCCGTTACAGTTGGTCTCAGAGGGAAAAGCAGTGAAATGAGTTCAAGCAGGCTCCAGTGGTTCTGCAGTAAATCCAGAGGAGAATGTGCGATAGGAACATGGAACTACAATCAGTGACACGCCCATGTTGCAACCCAGTCTCAGTTTTTGCCAGGAAATTAAGTATTTGTTTACGTTCTTAAAAGAGAGAATGAAACTTTTTCAGATAAGCTCTGGTTCCTTCTGTTTTTTGCACAATCTCAGTGACTATATCTCTGCCATATGTGACATGTAAATTTCTCCACTGTGAGATCAATAAAGTTTATCATATCTTTTCTAAGACCTGCCGATGCTCATCCCTGCAACCTCCTGATTGGTCACAATGAATTCAATCAATGAATGGCCCCTTGTCATTGGTTTTACGGTTCTCCTCCAGAACATCTTACTGCAATTATATTTGAAACAGTCCTGTAACTTTGATCTCAAATAAATACTTGAGGTTAACGTTGGTTTTTTAAAATTTGACTTTTTGGAATTTGATTATACAGCTGTGATCTCATCTAACAGAAATGAGAAAATAAATAGTGGCTGCTATTAGCAGAATACAATGTTTTATCCTGTTTTTTGGTTTTCTATTCAATGTTGCTCATTAGAAGCCAGAGCGAGTAGGAGCAAAACTTTGTCCATGAGCAGTTCCCTATCAGGCTTCATTGAGCTAAAGGGGTTAGCAATGTCCATCTATATACAGTCTATGAGTGGGATCAGTCCTGCTCCCACACGCAAGTTAAAGAATACATACATTATATAAATGCTAAAAGATGTTCTGCACCATAACCCTTGAATAATTCCATAAGAATTTAGATTTAACATCACCAAAATGTATTTGCAACAGATAATTCAGCTGGAACACTCTAAGATTGGAAAGTATCATAGACCTGTCTTATTTGCTCCGTGTGGGTGTTTGTGAGTGTATCTGCTTCTATTATTATCTTACATTGATTACTATGACATTTAGAGGTATAGCCTTACTGTTTGTATTGTCATAGAGAAGAATCCTATACTCTATCATGCACACTGCTGCTCTGGTCCATTGCTTTAGAGCAGACAGGGGCTCTCTGTCTGCAGGGACTGGGTGGGGCTGAGGGTGTGTGTGACCGCGATCAATATGACCTTCAGGAGAGCGCCGCCTCGGCTGTTTTCAACCGTCTGACTTTCCCTCGACTGTCTATAAAGATTAGCAATTAGGCTTTCCCATTCTAATGTATTTGTGCTATGTCCACTGATCACAAGTAATATTCATTTGTTGTGTTCATTTTGACTCTTCCACATGATCTTGCTTACCTTGACAGTGGCATTTCATGTTTTAGAACTTGATTAAGATTAGATTAGGAGGTCGTTGTCATGTACTGAACAAGTCAACTTACTGTTAACAACACAATGGAATTCATTTGGATGAGAATAACCATCGACTCACTTAAAAAATTGTATACAGAGGACTCTTATGCACTTCAAATACATAACTACATAAGTATATTCACAAATACAAGAATAAAATCCCTAAATAATGTATGTGTACGAAAGTGAAATGAACAGCCATCTGGCGGGCCAAACGGGGCCACGCGTCTTCTAGTCTCGGTCAAAATTACAGCTCATAAATGTGAGCTATTATGCTGTAACATGGAGTGTGGTGCAGGAAAAGGTTTGTTAACGTTATGATTGTTATGTCTGGACTACTCTGAGCAAAACTAGAACAATACTATGGAAAGACTTCCCCAAAATGTGTGCTGGATTCCCTTTCTAACAACCTTCTATATTAAAAAGTCCAACACATGTCTGATTTTGAAATGATTGGAAAACTTGGAAAACTTTTTTTTCAGATAATGAATGTGTGGCTTTTTGTTGTGTGCTCATAGAATCTTGTTTAATGTACAACTTGTCCTGCTCTGTATTATGAGCCAGGTGCAAAATTAGAAAAGAAAAAAATAATAATCTGGAGGTATGAAAGCTGACAGTCAATATAACATAACAAGGTTTATTTTGATTATTGAATGCAAAAAGCTTGTTAGAGAGAACTGGCCCAATAATTAATCATTAGTCATGTTTTGTGATCCATCTTTCAACTGCATGGATTTTTACAAGTACTTCAGGGTCTAAGCAGCCATTTGCTTTTATAAATCTGATTATTGGACTAGTGTTCTCTATTGGAAGTCAATTTCTTGCTCATGTTAATCCAGTCCAAGAAAGTCCAAAGCACCAAGTATTGAACTGTTTCTTTGCCATCTTCTACGCAAGATTTTACAACAATAATTTATGAATTCAGCTTCAAAAATTCACTTTAATTGCTCCATTTTCCATTATCTTCTTACCTCTTCCACCAGCTGTAGCATACGACGGGTGCTCTCCAGTGACTGTGGGGGAAAAAAAGAAAAACACATTACACATTATGTTTCCAAGTTAAAATCACATGTTTATTCTATGATACAGGAAGACGGAGGTGACTCTGGCGTGTTTTTTAACTACTGTAAATACATTCATGGACACAAGTAGGAGTCAATGGGAGCAATCAGCAGGACACAGGTCAATCAGTATCTCAGAATAGAAATATCAGCATGAGATCTGGTCCTTAACAGTGACGGACCACGGCAGCTCTTACACTTCTGTCAAAGCATCACAGAAGAGGGAGAAGTGCTGGGCAAAAATTATGAGATACTGTAAATAAAGAAGAGGTTATGAATAACTTGATGTATTTATTATCTTTAGGTGGTGGGAATGAGTTATAGTAGATTATTATCGCATTGACTTCTCACTGGTTTTAACAGAAGGGACCACATCACGCGTCCTTCCACTGGCTTCCGGTGCGTTTTAGAATTGTTTTGAAGATTTTGACAGTGACAGGCCGATAACACAGATTAGCAGTCACAGGGCAACACTAGCACCATTTGCATCACAAAACAATGAATATTTAAACTAGAATTCTTGAGGTTATTCTTTCAATTAATTGTTGAGTTGGTAGATTCCATAATTCCATATTGATTCCACGATAAATTTGACCTGGATGCATGAACACACTATACACTGACTTTTCTCATCTCAAGCAGGATCAATGTTTATGTGTCATTATAGACATGTTGTGGACATCTTAATAATCATCCAAATGCTAAATGAATTGAAATGTGTTTTCACTAATTTGTTGTTAGTTGTTCAAAAATGAATGAAAATGTTGTACTGTATTTTGTGGTTTACATAAAAAAATCGAATTTGTTAATAGGCACGCCATGCAAATTCTTTGAAATCCATGAGCAGTATTATCACTTATTCTTAAATTGATTCCACCAGTGAAATCCAGCAGCTTATCTAAGGTATCTACAAGCTCCGTATTTGCCTTGATCTATTCTTAGCTTCTGCTGTCTCTCCTGAAGCCTGCGATCTGAAAAGGCTCCTGCATTTGATTCGCTTTATTTGAAAGTGAAAGTCATTAAGGAGGTGAAAACTCCGCCATTTTGTGTCGGGCAGCGTGTTGACTGAGCAAGTGTTTAATATTCTGCTCAGCTGTGTGCGGTGAGTCACATGTGGAGCTGGAGGGGCCTACGCTGCTCTGGGCTGGTGTCTGTCAGAGCACACAAACAAGAGACCTCCACAAGACAGCAATGTGTACGTGCCGAACAAGGACATCCCTGCACAGTGCCCACTATATACATTATGCTAATTATGCACTGTATATTGTCAAGCGGCAATTGGTTTGCACAGGCACGAAAAAACCTATAAAGTATGAGAGAGGCTTATTTAAATGGATAGCACCATGATATACTGTTTAAAGTACTTATTTGTGCTGCAGACATTACAGGTACGTCCTACTATCCTGGTGGTGACCCGCTTTTTGTGAAGTGGTGGTAGAAGTGTTATTACTTTGCTTGAAATGTCTCACAGTTTGGTTTAAAACTAGCCTGGTCGTACCACACCATTGTACAAATTACATTTTGTACTAAAGTCTGGATTTGCTCCATTGAGCTCCGTTAACAGGTGGGAGGGGTTAACTCCTTTTGCAGATTGAAACGATTGGATCTGAGTTTACCGTGACGTGTGTATTGCGCCCGAGTGACTTGTTAGCATTTAGAATTTAGCCTAGCCATCTCCTTTGCCGCTAATGGAGCCCGTGGGGAGTAGCGCCACAATCTTTTCCAGCAATTACATTTGCTAAACATTCCTCTTGCTCCGGCTTCAATTTCTTGATAGAACCAGACCGGATTCCTTTACTATTGCATTCTTCGCCATTGCCAAACTACAACCTGCCCGATCGGCGCAAACTCTTGACGTCACCCACAACTAACTACAACACCCGCCTCCCGCGCTCGCTGATTGGTCGGATGGAATTTTACCAATGTAATTGCAAACACAGGGACCAGACCCAGACGTTACATGCAGTGAAATGAGGATTGACCGGAGTGTACGGATGGCTAAGGCCAGGCTAGTTTAAAACAAGTGCAGTCCTAAATGATGGACAATTTTAGTGCTTATTTAAGACTCGCCTCTCCACAGATATCTTGTATCTTGTAACTTGTATCTCAATCAAGTGAAGTTAAAGGTTTGTTAACAATGTGAACGGGAAGTTCAATGACACACAGTACAAATGTCCAGGTATAAATAACAACAGATGAGCTCGAGCACAGAGCGGGCCCAGTACCAGGACAGTTGTAGCGTGGTTAATCCAGATTGCATATAACAAGTCATGTGTAGTCAGGGAACTCTCTGTTCATTTTATCGTAGAAGTGTAGAATTGCCAAGTAGACGTTTATTAGGTGCCGTGAATGCCCATAATTTGCAACTGATTGTACGCCGCAATTGTATCAACTGAACCTGATGACGTCTGTGGAGCGACATCATGTTCCACTAGCTGTTTGAGCAAGTGGAACATGAGGGACCATTAGGCTTCCGTCTGTGTCGCCATCTCGCCCTTTTCTAAAATTGATCCCCAAATCCATGCAAAACTTTTGACCCAAGTTTGCATGCTTTTGTGCAGTTTGAAATAATTTGAGCACACGGCAGCATGGGTGTTGCCCAGCTAGGACTGTTGAAGAATGCACCTTTAAATATTTAGTGAGCATAGTAGATCCAAATGCTTACTAGATTAGCAATAAGTAAGCGTTTGTGATCAAAGAGAATAACTTTGTAAGCTCAGATGTGAATATGCAATAATTTTCCGAATTGTCATCACTTTGAAACAAAAGGTTAATGCCAACTAACAAGTAGATATAACATTTTTTACCGTTCTGTTATTATTGCATTTACTGTGTTCGAATTGTGTGTCTGTTGTTGATGATTTGAAAATGTTGTAAAATCACTGTTGTTGTGATGTTCGGGTATACAAACAGATTTTGAATTAACGTTGTGTTCTCCAAGAAGCAGGGTGTGCGCCTCCAACCTGTCAGCATGTTGTAAGCCTACCGTGATGCTGACACTTGCCCTAAGCTCTGAATTTTGTTGTGTCAAAATCTCATTGAGCAGAAATAAGGAATGTGTGCACTGACAGCGGAATCCGAACCACTTCAAACTGTGACAAAAACTATAGTTCAAGCACTGCAACTACTGTGAAACCATGGTCTTAATAACACTGTCATTCCCTCACAAAGCTTGGCACACCCTCGCTGCGTCATGAATCTCCCTTCGCTTCCATCTGTGTTGTGGTTTCATCCAGAGCTCATTTTCAGGTCCATATTTGAGAGTATTTGTGTGTTTGTGCCAACACGCCTGAGCTTTCCATGACTGTGTTGTTCTCACCTCATCACCCAGCTGGTCTGCACGCTGCTGCATGTCTGACAGCTCATTGCGCATATCCGCGTCATCTGCCATGGCTGTTACTGTTGGGGATGGAGACGCACTCCGACAGGGAACTTAAGATCCTATGGGAACCGGGGGAAGGCTGGAAGACAAGAACAAGAGAACACATTTAGGAACGAGTCCTTCAAATAGCATAGCAAACATAGCAAACAGCTGCAGTGTTGGCAGATTTGTGGTATTTTTTTGCAAGACCAATCTGAATTTTATGAAATAAATGATATTGGGCTTGTACCTGTTTCTTTTTTTTTCAACAATGGCAGACATACGATACAAAAGTAGGACATGAAAAGTGTGAGGGTTGTGTTACTTGGGTTGGTGTGAGAGTGTACAGTAGGTGTAAGTGTGCTGCCTGTTGTGTAGTTACTACTTGTACAATTAACGCACAAGAAAGAAGAAGGATGGAAAGTTATAATAATATTTAGAAACAAACAAACACACACACAAAATAAAGTAGTGAATAGATTGACCCTGTTACCACCAACTGTATGCGTTTAAAACATACAATTGGCCGCTTTTTGACAAAAATGGGCCACTTCTGTTTTCCAAATCAGTATTTAGGAAAGGCCTTACGGAAGAGCATTGTTGTCACTCAAAAAAAAAGGAAAGATAATATCTCAATTTTGTGTGACAACAATGCTCTTCAATGTACAATGCTCTTCTGTACAACCTTGTCTTGTGAAGTGAAAAGGAAATCGAAAAGAATTGACAACCTATGGCAGTAATGCAGTTTAATGACTGTGTGGACTGAACACTAGACTTGCTATTCAATATTTAATTGCATAACAATGTACCTGACAGAGATGGTATAATTAAACATATCTGTTGAAAGTCAAAATCTTTATGAACACAATTGATTTTCATTTTATTTGTCTATTTGAATAAATCCATTCCATTGATTGGTAAAAAGTGGCAGCTATTCACTCAAAGAAATGATGGTCTCAAGTGAGTTGGACTGACCTGGATTTGGAGGATTAGCAAAAGGACAAAACATCCAGTTATTTTCAAACCCTCAAACATTTGTAATGGAAAGTCATTTTAAGATGAAAGCAACAACTTTGGACAATGTGGCAAAAGTGTTGCCTAAGAACACAAATGACACTGTGGGATTATTAATTCCAAATAAGACAAATACCATCCAGTAACAAAACCAACAAATCTAACCAATATTGGTTTAACTTTGGTAGTTTTGACATCCATTGTGATTTTTTAGAGTGTAGGTAGCAAATGTAGTACAGAATCCACTAAGGAGTTATTTGATCCCTGTCAAGTCCAATTCATTGCTCATCTTAGTTGTTTGGGCAACACACTGACCAGAAAGAAAATCAGCTTCTTGTTTGGGAGTGAATCCTCCATCTGCCAAACATGTTTTTTTTTGTCTGATCAAGCTCACAAGACCATTTTGTCCTTCTCAATACTAAATGATTCAACAACAACAAAGTTGCAAGTTTGCTCAGAGCTTGTGAGTCATATAGACAGATGCCTATGGGAGGGTCACTAATGTAACTGCAGTTATTCAGTTTTCACACTGGTTCTGATTCAGTCCTTGTTTTTTCCCATTGGCTTTTTCCTCATCTTAAACATTTGTACAGGAGGTTTGGTTCCAGGTTAAGCCACAATTCTGATGTACTGCATGTGCGTGTAAACACTTATACACGTATACACATTATCATCATTTCAACAGTTTCTTGGCTCGTGATAATAAAAGAAGCAGTCCTACTGTAAGCTATTTAAGCCATGAAAAATTCAACGAACAAATAAACCCTAGCTAGGGCTGGGCAATATGGAAAAAAAGTAAAATCTCGATTTTATTTCCTGCTTTGGACGGACCCAAGCTATGCAATCATTTTACACTGCTATTGTGGCAGACATTTCTATTCGCTGAACAGTTAGACAAAACTATCTATAAATAGCAATGCTTTGTCCAGCATGCACAGACATACTGTATGACAAAAAAGCACGTTTCATTTTCAAATGAAGACAACATAAGCAGCAGCTCAAAGTATGCTATAAGCTCATTGTTACTATGGTATAGATCAGTGTCTCCCAAAGTGGGGTCCGCGGCCCCCTGGTGGGCCGCGAGGGTACTGCAGGGGGGCCGCGGGAGGTCATAAAAAAAATATATATATATATATAATTATTTAATGTTAAATTTATAATGTTTTGTTTGCAATATTAAAATATTTGTGTTCATTATTTGACTTGAATAATCCACTGTAATCATTTTTGTATTACAATGTTTGTAGCAGAGGCTATTTCCCCAAAATAAAATAACCAGAAGAGCCTATTCTTAATGTTGTCTTCTTAGTTATTATTTTGGGGGGCCACGCAGACCCGTCAGATTTTTAAGGGGGCCTCGGTGTTACTGAGTTTGGGAATGGCTGGTATAGATGAACGCTGTCTTTGATCCTTGTAATTCTTTCAATACTGATATTTGGGTCTTCAAATTAAAACATTCATTTTATCGCTAGTTATCATCTAGACAAAGATTGATTTTTTTTCTCCAGCCCTTCTAGCCTGGCAGTGTGAGTAACCCCCTCTGCACTGACTGTAGACCCATCTGTATTCATAAGGGAGCATGAAGCCACTCATGTGTGGGCCCTCAGCTCCACCGCAACACACACGCACACACACACACACACGCACACACACACACACCCACACACACACTCTGACAGCACATATACACTTTCCTAGTCTGCTGTCGGGCTCTTGTTCATATGAAGCATAGGAGCACATCAACGCTATGTGTTTTCAACTCTACACTCTTAAATGATTTATGAAGTGCAAAAACATGTAACCCCCCCTTAACAATTGTAGCAATGAGAAGGGCTAAAAATAGACAAGCCAGAGATCCTGGATGATTGAAAGTGATAGTGACATATGAAACTTCTCAGATCAAGCTTTGACAATGAACTAATTCAACAGCAGATTGAAGCCTGACTTGATGTTTGTATGGATGGATGCGTTTCTACTGCTGAACACTTAGATTTCGCTTATGTGGATCAATAAAGTATCCATCTGTCTGTCCGTCCGTCCGTCTGTCTGTCCGTCTGTCTGCCTGTCTATCTACAGATGCTATACTTGAATCAATGAACCATCTTAATTGTGAAAACAAATATCTGCACTACATTGTTTTTAATCATCAGAGGATGTTAATATTTAGTTATCATTTAAAGCGATGAAGCCGAAGCAGTAGCCATGTTGTCTTACATAAACGCACTCGCTGACTCCCAGTTTGAAGTCAGAGCGATTCTAAACATAAGCCCAGTGCAGCTCGCATGCACTCGTTGCATAACTGTAAACTCAGGCTATTACTTCTCAAACCTCTTCCTTTTAGTGTCAGTTACAATTAACGTGGTCTATATGCACCATCTTAATGACTATACCGTATTGATGCCAGAAAAGGGCGATTGTCGGAATGTCAAATCTGTCACTCACTTCTGGCAAAAAATAAAACATTATATAATTATAGAGGTCTGCTCATGTTTGTACGTCTCAGTGTTTGGAGATAAGACATGTTCTTTGATGAATCTGCTTGTTTAAACACAGAATAGTGTTTGTAAAAAACTGGTAGAGCGCAAACCTCAAAACCTCCACCAAAAGGCGCAGTTCCATTCCTTTAAAACAATCCTTGATCCAGACAGTTTTTCAGATCACTTCCAACATCCCATTTCTGAGGTTTACTAGCCATTTTGTAAAAATCTAACCATAACTTTTGAGTTTTCCTGCAAACAAGACAACAAACAAACTAACGCAGATGAAAACATACCCACTCCCAGTGGAGGTAGATAATTAATGAGAATGTAATGAGGTTGTGATAATATATTACTGACCATATACTGAAGGCTGTGGGAGCCCTGGAAAAGAATGCTTTGATATTTTAGAAACATACCAGGCAGACTGTTGGAGTCTAAAGCTCATGTTAATTATAGAGGACAGCTTTGTATTTAGTGTGGCCAGGGGTTTCACACTCACAAATTAATCTAAAGTTTTCCTTTTGTCAAAAAAGAAAATGCAGCCCTGTTGTTGTCCCACTGATAAATAGAAATACAATAAACATTATAGATATAAAAAGCAAACTATTGTGCATGACAACTTGTCCTGAATTACAAAAAGTACAATCAAAGCATATATCGGCGATAAAGCGTTGGGAATAACTTGACCACGGTTCTGTGGAACAACGACAGAATCAAGAGGAAAGTGAACACACAAAGGAATAAAGAAGATAACAACAACAACAACAACTACAGAATATTTCTTTGCTTACAAACCACTGAGACCACTCTGGTCCAGTCTACATGCGTACTGTACATCAGCGACTGACTGTACTTCCAACTTTGAGGTGCCTGTGATTTAGCACTGGAACTGTAATTGTGAATAAAAACATATATACTGCTAGCCTGGTCGTACCACACCATAGTACAAAGGACATTTCATACTAAGGTCTGGATTTGCTCCATTGAGCTCAGTTTACAGGTGGGAGGGGTTAACTCCTTTTGCAGATTGAAACGATTAGATCTGAGTTTAGCGTGACCTATCTAGTGTGCCCGAGTCTGTTGTTAGCATTTTGCATTTAGCCTAGCCATCTCCTTTGCCGCTAACAGGGAGTAGCGGCACAATCTTTTCCAGCAATTACATTTGCTAAACATTCCTCTTGCTCCGGCTTCAGTTTCTTGATAGAATCAGACCGGATTACTTTACTATTGCATTTTTCGCCATTACCAAACTACAACCTGCCCGTTCGGCGCAAACTCTTGACGTCACCCACAACTAACTACAACACCTGCCTCCCGCGCTCGCTGATTGGTCGGTCGAGATTCAACCGATTGTAATCGCTAACACAGGGACTAGACCCAGACGTTACATGCAGTGAAATGATGATTGAACGGAGTGTACGGATGGCTTAGGCCAGGCTAATATACTGCATGTAAACATCCATCCATCCATTTTCTTCCCCTTAATCCATTTCTGGGTCGGGGGGGTGGCCAGAGATGCCACCCAGTACACAGAGCACCAGCCCCTCACTGATCCTCCTGCAGGTGGTGAGTCCACAGGAGCTGAGGTCTTTCAGTGGGAGCTTCA